ATTATTTGTATCTTTTGTGACTGGCTCTGTGTGAACTACGACTCAATCCTACAATATGACTCACCTGAAGTGTTACTAGAGTCTTGCACGGTATCTATAATACTGATTAAGGCGGCTAAGGCAGAATCCACGTCGCCGCTTTGCAACGGAGCCTCCACAGCATCATCAAGTAAATTTTCCAGAGCAACTGGGATTAGATCGCTCACATCCGGGGGACTGGAAGTGATATTGACTGTTGCTATGGCAAACGAATCAAACTTATCTGACACAACAACGCATAAGGGGAGGATGTACTCTGGACCCGATCCCTGGGGGATTATTTGTTCCCGATCTGGATCGCTCGATGGAACTCCAAATGTCTCACAAACATCTCTGTCGACAAGTACACCAAATGCATATTGAAGAGGTATGGCGTCTGCTTCACTCGTCCACTGTGGAGCTGTAAAGGCGAAGAAAATAACCCAGTTTAGCCTATTGCATTAAACCTATGTGCAGAGTAAACCAAGATTTTATTAAAGTCAATGGCATTTGAATTGGTTGATGTTGATTCACATATAAGCGCGGTGCAACTGGCCTATCAGGCCAGTGTTTGTCTCAAGTTCTTCTAGCATGAAGCAACGTAAGAGTATTTCCTTACCACCATCCCCACCCCCACCCCTCTTTCCAAAGCAAAAAAAAGTCATGTTTATCGTCCGCAGTTAAATTCTATGTAACAATTTATTCAGCTGTTTTAAAAACATTCTACACACAACTCAAAGGTTTGAGCAAGTTCGAAGCTTTCGACCGTGCCAGCTCACACAGCCGTCACTTCCGGGAGTGAATAATTTGCTAAGCTCAGTTGCCAGGTGACCTCGTTACCGTAAACGGCCTTAACACGGAATGAAGGTCCTCGCCCCTCTCTGTTGAAAGCAGGACGTTGAAGTTATTTCTCTACAATCTTATTTTTATCTAAGATTACCGGGGTCATCAACAGCCCGTCATCGTTTTTTGTTTTTTTTTTTTTTTTTTTTTTTTCTCCCGCTTACCTGACATAATGACAGTATCCAGAGCTTTAACGGAAGTCGGCTCAACAGCGAAGAAACCAGAAGTAGGCCCAATTCTTACTTCCACATCCATGGAAGCCGCACCCTCCTCACCTCCGTTATACACAGTCAATTTAAATCGATACTTGAAGCCTGGTATCAGAAGCCCCTCGGGTAGAGTCAACAGAACAAATGAAGTCTCTCCGGGGTTGAATATTGTAAACGGGGTGAAACCACTTAGATCCACAACTGCAAAACCTAAAAAAATATCATGTAGTGTTATCCCTGAATTGACTAACATTGTATCTCAAAAGTAGTAAATACATCACTTTTTTATGTATCTAATTATTAAGTACTACTATACTAATTTGAGATATTGAAATTAGCAAACAAATGTTGAAAACTTAACAGAAATCTTTTAAAAATCCCATG